TCCTGCATTTGTTGCCAATTTTTCATTTTCCCTTTTTATTCTCCTTTCAGTAAGGGAAACTGTTCAATAAGATTGCTCTCCATATAGATTTCATACATAAATTTGTTTCTCTGAAAAGTTGGCTACAATGAAAAGGTAAGGAAAATTTAGATCAAAGGCTTCAAAGAAGAATTGGACACTTGGGGTGGACGATTCAGAAGATAGTTTCATATAAGAGTTATAAAATTGCAGTACTTTGTCCATGGTTATACTAGAAGGATATGTCTCATATATTACACACAAAATGCAGTACAGAAACACATAGAAGAATTATGCGTCAGATTTTAAATTGCTGCATAAAAGTGTGTAAAAGTTTGCATATCATGATAAGCAATGATTTGAGTTAAGAAACTGTGGCTTGTTCACAGAAGTGAACTCACACATCACAACAAATCAGATTTCAAAAAATAAAAATAAAAAACCTAACTCACTGTAAGTTTACATGATGTGCAAATGAGCTGTAGTTTCTTATACAGATATTAATGATAGCTTTCCTGTTGAGCTGAAATTATCTGAGATTTTGATTAGGTAGCTTTGACACAAATTGGTGGGAGCAAGCTTGCTGCGTGAAGTTACAGTTCAGAATATGGTATTCCTTTGCCCTTTCCAGTGATAAACATTCATCTTCAGCAAACCATTATAAAAGGATCTGCTACTTGCAAATGTCAGCACTAAACACTTTATTACAAATATTGTGAAACAGTTTTTTGTTAAAAAAAAAAAGACACCCTGCTTTCTAAAAGAAAGGATGAAGGGATGCAGAAGATTACAGTCCTTTCTATGCAAGTTTGAGGCACTATGGGGATGGATGTATTGTTGGTTTTCCTCTTTTAGTAACATGTCCTGTTGTCAAAGAAAGTCTTTTTATAGGCAACAAAGTGCCTATTGGACTCTGACAATAAAGGCCTGGGGTTATCTAAAATTTATTTTAAGCTCTGTCCACTGACAAGAAAATGTATTCTGCATAAAAGAGAGTGCCAGAGATATTTTAATTTTGCCTGGGACAAAATGGTGACCATGGGTAGACTGCAGGCAGGTGTGTATGTACATTTATGTATGCGCCTCTCTCTCTCTCTCTCTGTGTTTATCTTATATATATATATACCAAAAGTAAATTAAAAAACAACACACACACACACACACACACACACACACACACACTGCTCCATTAGTGCAAGCACTACACCAGGAGGTTTACAAATTAAAATATAGAACTGCTTAAAAAAACACATACCAAAAGTAAATTAAAAAATAATATGATACACAGATAATAATTCAATCATAAATATAAATAATCCTGAAACCCTGAAATTAGTTGGGGAGATTGACAGCATCCAGGCATTAAAGTTAGTTTTAAATAATTTAGTCTTTACCAGTTTCCTAATGTTGGGGAGATTGACAGCATCCAGGCATTAGTTTTAAATAATTTATTCTTTACCAGTTTCCTAAAGATAAGGAGGGAAGGTGCCTTATGTATCTCTGTCGGTGTGTCGTTTCAGAGACAAGGTACCACGACCAAAAAAGTATGATTCCTTCTATTCACCTTTTTGGCTTCCCTTGGTGTGGCCACTTTTTAACTGCATAAATTGACATGAACAGGTGGAATGGATATCTGATTTCTTGAAAAGGTGCCCTGACAAGTATTGAGTTCCTAAACTGTTAAGGGCTTGAGAGCACCTTGAATTGAGCATAGAAACTGACAGGGAGCCAATAATGATGCACCAAGTCTAGGGATATATGATAAAATTTACTAGTCCTGGTAATTTTGGATCTGCTGAAGCTTCTTTACTGTTTTCAAGAGCAGACCTATGGAGATAGCATTCCTGGCCATTTGTACCTTATGTATGAAGACCAATTTTTTTTCAAAACCATTTCAGAAATACCAAGTCATTGTCTCTGATTCCTCTTTTGGCCAGATATGAAACTCTGTGCCTCATTTCAGTGTTTACTGCTTCGAGATTAGTCCTCTGGAGAACCTAGCTTCAACCCTTCTAGTACTCAGAGTGTACTTCTTCTTTTTTGCCAAGAAAAGAACATCTTACAAAAATGGAAAGTTAACACTAAACAAGAAAGACTTTCAGACAATGTATCAAGAGATAGACAGTTACGTAACAGAGACCAAAGGCTACATCAATGACTGAGCATTAACTACAGGTTGCCTCTCCAGGATTCCCTCTGTATTTCTGGACACCTGGATGATCCAGCTACCTCTAGTTTTCAACTCCAGCCTCAATCCATGGTGAACTCTACCTTAGACAAGGTGAAGTTCCGGATGTGGAGTGCCAGCAGATGCTGGGATAGCTGATGTGAAGACCATCTTGAAAGTCTAGGCCTAAAGGATGACTCCCCAGCAATTACATCAATGGAAGAAGATGCCTTAAGCCAGAGCACAATAAACAACCATGGTCTCATGAAGTACAGAGAACCAGATGGAAAGCTGTTATTCTTAAGCACTTTTACAAGGTCCGATGTGAGATGCTTGGTAGAAAGCCTAGTTTGACAAGCAAGAAAGACTGGGAAACAGTTGAAAGAGTGAAAAATTATCTAAAGGTCACTGCACATCTGAAACTAACACTGCCAACAAAGAAAGATCCTAAAATTGCAGAGTATGCAAAAGAGGAAGAGAGGATATAAGTGGAAATTATTAAAGGAAACATATTTAGTCCAGTGGTGATTTAAAGAGACCATTGCCTTAATAGTCAAGTGAAAAGTCAAAGGCAGGTCTGGTATTGGTATTAGAAAGAAGGGTAAGGATAGTGTTATCTTCCACAGAGGCAGAATATGTACCAGTCTGTGAAGTATGCAAACAGTTTATGCCTACATCGGTTGCTACTGCACTTAGGCAAACTGATCTGGAACCCACGAAGACACTTGAAGACAGTCAAGGATGTATTAAACTCACACTGGCTTAAGCAGCGGACTCATGCACAAAGCACACTGATATGAAACAATACTTAGTGAGAGATATACAGAGCAAGAGTCTCTTAAATCTGGAGTAGTGCCTTACTGAAGAGGTGACAGTTGATGGATCCATCAAACCATTGGAAAAGATCCAACACATGAAGTTCCTAGGCAAGATAAAACTTGTATACTGAGTGCAAACCTTATTGAGAAGGGGTGTTGGAAATGATTGGGTGCAACTAAACTCAAGAAGATACACATCTTTGCATGAAGAAGAGTAGAGATTTCCTAGACTGCTCTTAATCTACTGTGCTGATCTTCCTTCCAACTTCAATTGCTATTCTCATTGTTGTTGATGTCACTTCCTTCCTTCTCACAGCTCCTTTTTGTTCCTCCAAGGAGAACTTTGTTTTCTAGAGATGAAAGGAGCAGCTATGCTCCAGACGTCTCAAATTTAGCTAGGTAGAACTAGGACATCTATCACATTTCCTATAAAAGTTTTTCTCAGTTGTTTCTAGGGTGGAAGGCAAAAAAGCAAGGACACTAACCAGCTGTTGTTTTCTGTCTCTTCTTTCTCTACACAGTCACTCCTTTTTTTGAAAAAGGGCATGAAAATAAAAATATGTATAAAAATAACATTATAGGATAAATATATAAATATTATACAATATTTGTATTAACACTGAAATGGTCCTGATAAATATGGATTTTCTACCAAACAACCTGCATTTTTGCATAACATTTACTCATGCTTTTCACTGCTTCTTTTCTGTATCAACACACACAAGTATTTGGTCTCACATGCTTTCAAGACATACTAGTTTCATAAAGAAACTACTAGCATTTGCACCTTTTGGATTTTACAAAAGCACTGCTGTTTTCAGTCATACGTACTACAGTATTAGAAGCAATTTTATCCTCTAGGCTTCCCAACTATTTGGATGTCACAATCATAGCCACCATGGATGCTTCCTGCTGGGTGTACATGGCCAAATTGTCCTGATTTGATTTCAGTCTTCATCTGCCACTCTTTCATGACAGCTTTTGCCACCTATTGATCCAGCAGGCTTTACTTCTGAGCAAATCATCTATGCATCTTTTCTTATAGCTAAATTATGCAAAATCAATATAATATTTGTGTCAGGTTTATAGAAAAGACAAAAGGGAAGTTCTCAACAAGTGATTGTGAAGTAAGTTCCAGCTGAATACAAGCAATACAGGGGAGGGAGAATTCTTGGTAAAGAACATAAGAGCACATCTCAGGGTCTTAACTGCAATTTGCTTCCTAAAACATCAAGACGTTTTCATGCAATATACAACTCTGTACTTATTTCTGACATTTCCTTAAAATGTATCAGGCAAAAAAATAATAATAATAAAGAACACAAAAAAGTAGTTTGTGGTTTCCTAGGCAAGTCCACCTCCTCAGACATATAAGTTGAGACTATCCCCGCTCTTTAAAGTGGTTATCACAGTTCGGAGTATCTGAGCTGACACCAACAACGATCTCAAAGGAAACAAAGGAAAACTTATTTTTTTTCTAGACATAAGTCATTAGCTGATACAGCTACATAAAAAGAGGGGCCGCTTATGAACTTTGGTCTTTCTTCCGAAAAAAGGAGCCATCCGGACCAATTTTAAGCCTGCCTGTTTTTTGGGGGTGGGGGTGGGTTTTTTCCCGGAAGTCGGCCACTCCCTAGTAAGGGAAGATTTAGGAAATCGCTTCAAAGAGCAGTCGCGGGTGGGGAGGAGGATGCTCCCCCTCGTTTTAACGAATAGAATCGCACAAGTTTGGCCTCGTCCAGCCACCGTAGCAGCGGAGCGCGGAGGAGGATCGCTGATTGGTGACCCTTCGAGTCCATCATTCTTCGTTCCAGAGACCGCCCGAGGTTGTTAACTAAGGCGAAGAGGCGCGGGGTGAGTGACTCGGGGAGGTAGCGGCGGTTGAGGGGAGGTGGGGCGCGAGCGGCCTTTCCGGCCGGCGGCGGTTTTATTGAAGGCGAGCCGTTACGTGGGGCCGTACTCAGGGAAAGGGCCAAATGCTGCTTCCCGGTTCCCCCTCGCCACCGCGTCTCCTGGCTAAGTCGCCTCACGATTAAGTGAACGAAGCAAGCGACTGCCGCTGCCTCGAACTCGGCTTGCCTTAGGCCAGCGTTGGCAAGGCGGGAGAGCAGCCTAGCGTGAGGCCGCCGAAGCCTGGCTGCTCTTTTTTCTTCTTCCTCCCGCCTTCCGCCCCACGGCTCGCTGTGCCCGTAGAAAAGGCGCCCGCCCAAGCAGTCTCCGGGAACGGCGTCCCTCTAAGGCCCTGCAATCGTCTGTAGCTTTAGCAGAATGGGTGGCTGCGAATAGTCCCTGTTTCCATGTTTGGTGGAAGTAGCTACGTTCAGTTTCGTCCTCAAACGCATTCTTCCTATGAGTGAATTTGAATCCAGGTGTCCCCGATTTCGAGTAGCCCTAACGATCACGTTGCCCACGCCTTTTAAGCTTTTAATGTAGGTGTAGCAAGCACACTGGCAGTGAAATGGAATAAAGATGGGTGGGAGTCCTTGTTTTTTAGAACATATATATCTGAGGGACTGTTCTGTTGGAACTGGCTGGTAAAATAATTCAGGTAGCACAGTCTAATTTTGTCTGTGTTCTGAGAACTTCTTAGGTGTATTTACATTGCAATATAATTTAGAATGTTAGGGTTCCTTTTCCTTCGGGAAATGTAGAATCATGAGTTTGGAAGGGATGTTAGAGATCATTCGGTCTAACCTGCTCCTTGTAAGCTTTTCATTACAGCACTCCTAATAGATGGCAGTGAAGCTTCTGCTGTACAGTTGTTCCCAACCTTTTTCAATTTGGGCTCCCCTTTTATAATACAGTAGTCGAGTAATATGCGACCCTCGCTGCCATGTTTGCATAAAAGCATTTTTAATGAGGGGAAGTCATCCCTTCTTAGAAAGTTGTTGTTCAGTCGTTCAGTCGTGTCTGACTCTTCGTGACCCCATGGACCAGAGCACGCCAGGCCCTCCTGTCTTCCACTGCCTCCCAGAATTCGGTCAAAGTCATGTTGGTCGCTTCGATGACACTGTCCAGCCATCTTGTCCTCTGTTGTCCTCTTCTTGCCTTCACTCTTTCCCAACTTTCTCAGAAAGTAGAGGCTTCTTCCCTCAAAAGGGCCTGTTTCTTATACATACATTCACCAACTTCAATATCCCACTCTGAAATGGCCTTCGACAGCCCAGAAAACACTTTTCAACCCCCCTTGCGGTTACAGTCCCCAAGCTGGGAAACACTGCTGTACTAAAAGGAAAATTGCTGAGTCTGGGGAAGCACCAGTGACATTCATATCTAGGAAAGTTTTGTAGACTTTCAGGTAAAATCCTGCATCTTCCACTTGTAACATTTATTTCTGCTGTCTGTATCTACAGGGCACTATTCTTTTCATCCAGCGCTATTCCTCTGTTAATATGATTAATGATCATATTAGTTAAACCAACTGCATCACAGCACTGACTTGTACATGTAATCCACAGAGATGCCTATATGCTTTTCACATGTACAGTACTGCTGTTACATCTCCCTCATCATATGCTTCTATCTTTAGTTCCTAAATGCACAATATTTATCTTTGCTGAATTTCACATTGTTAGCTGCACCTCAGATTGTAATCAGTAGTCTTTTAGAATCTGTTCCTTTTCCACAAGATGTTACTGCTCTTAGCTTTATGTTCCCTGGAGATTTTATAAGCCAGTCCTTTGCGTGCTCATACAGGTGATTTGTAAAAATCTTAAAATGGAAAGCCAAGTCTGATGACTCATAGTCCAAGGATATTCAGAAACAGTAGTTCTGAGAATGCTAAATATTGAATTGGAATGTTCCTTGGTTCTTCTGCCTTATTGAATTTGCTTGTGAATTTCATAATGCGTTATTGGTGACCCTGTGAAAGATTCAATTTCAGACATGTAGGGTGCTCTGCATTTTAGAAAATACTTAACATGCTGTATTATATGTCAACAAATTTTTTAGATCTGTTGCAGATAACAGTATTGCAGCAATAATGTTTTTACCTGTTGTGGAAATAATTAAGTCTTCTAAAATCTGTGTTACATGCATCTGACCTGTATGTTTTTGTGTATAAAAGTCTTCTTCCATATTTCGTCTTATGTTTGCTTATATAGGCTGTCCCACTATTTGTAAACCAATCACTGCCTCATTTATATCAGGAAAACAGGTGAACTAAGAAGAAGAGGAGATGAAAGGGCAGATGAGGAATTAAATTACTAGATACACTTGTAAGAACTTGATGGATAAAATCCTAGGGAACAATATGGGGAAGGATGATGAAAAGAAAAATAAGAATACAAGTACTAGATAGAAGTAGTATTTTATTAGAGAATTATTTCATAGTTACTTAAATGAGGAAAGTCTTCTGCTGAATACCTCCTCTTACGTTGATAAGTGGTTTAAACATAAAATTATTTACTATATCAGTTGTCCCAGGTAACTTTCTAGGATACTATGATGCATATTTGACTCAGCCCATTGTTTATAATAACATTGTTGCTATGAGGGGGTGCTGATAAGTATTGAGCCTTTCCCAGAAAAAAATGAGCTAGAAAGCTGTAATTGCCACACTATACTACATATTCCCCCAGTAAGTGAATGCACTTGCAACATCTGTCCTGCAGCTTCTTAAGTCCCAGCAAATAAAATTCTTCTGATTGCTGGTGTAACCACTCATTTGCAGCATTAGATGCCTCCAGAACACTCCCAAATTGTTGTCCCTTTAGGTGTTTTTTGATTTTGGGGAACAGATAATAGTTAGAAGGAGCCAGATCGAGAGCATAGGGTGGATAGGGCATCACTTGAAAACCTAAGGACGTCGGTTTTGTCATTGTTTCACCTGCAGTGTGTGACGTGTTGTCATGCAACAGGATGACACCTTCAGAGAGCTTTCCTCAACGTTTTTCCTTGATGTTTTGCCTCAACTTTGCCAGTAAAGCACAGTAATATTTTGCATTGATGGTTGAACCCTGTTGGAGGTAGTCCAGCAGCAGAACTCCCTTCCTATCCAAAAAAACCTGTTGCTATTTGCTTCTGCACCGACCTTTGCACTCGGAACTTCTTTGGCCTGAGGGAATCACTGTGCCTCCATTCCTTAGACTGTTCCTTTGTCTCAGGATCATAACAGTAGATCCATCTCATCACCAGTTACCAGTTTGCCCAGGAAATCTGACTCATTTCTTGCAAAATATTCCAAAACAGTCACCGACGATTCCACACGTTTCCTCTTTTGTTCAGTTGTCAAAAGTTTGGGAATCTACTTTGCTGCCAGCTTTCTTATTTCCAAGTCGTTGTGGATAATGGCACCAACTCTCTCATGTGATATTCTCAGATATGTAGCAATACTTTTGGCTGATACAGTGGTGGCCTGCATGACGATGATAATCCGTTCCATAGAAATCACTGTTTAGCGAAATCATTGTCATGCAAAATGTGATTCCCCATTGGAATGCATTGAAACCCGTTAAAAGCGTTCCAATGGGGAAAATAGTCGTCCACCGAAGATTGCCCATAGGCAATTTTGCGAGCCCCGATCACCTGTTAAAATGGCTGTTCTGCGAAGCATGGGCCCAGAAAACACGGGGAAGCCATTTTGTGGAGCCACCAATCAGCTGTAAAAATTATCGTCTTGCGAACAAACGGTCCGTGAAGCACAGACTGTATCACCGTCCAGCAAAAATCCCCCATAGGAATGACTGTCTTGCGAATCACTATAGCAATCACAAAACCTCATCGTCATGCGGATTCATCGTTTTATGAGGTCGTCATCTAGCGAGGTACCACTGTATTCAGTGGTTCTCCATGATCATGTCATGGATGGCTTTCACATTTGCAGGCACAGAGACAAACAGTCCTTCCACTGGGTTTCTCACTTTCAACACCGAAATGGCCAGTTTTAAAATTGACACCCCAACGTTTAATTGTTGCATATGAAGGGCCACTGTCACCCATAGTTTGTGACATTTCATCATGGATCTGCTTTTCACCTTTCCCTTGGAGAAACAGGAACTTGATTATGGCCCTATGCTCTTCCACATTGAACTTTTCTGGAGGTGCTGCCATGTTCACTTTGGACCTGAACATGAAAGATAATTTAAAATCATAGATAGTTGATTTTTGCACCATTGAATACAGACAAATTGGCCAATACAGACTTTCCGTCCAATGCATTCCAATGAGAGAAAATTCAAAAAATCACCAAAAATTAAAGACGACTCAGAACAACACCAAATTAAGTTTGCATAGGGTTCAGGAGGTGGGCTAACGATTGCAAGCATTTAAAACCTGTTCCAAACATTGTAAGGCACTTTTACAGGAGCGAAAAAGAACTTCGCAAAGCCATTGAAATGTATTGAGTCGGCTTCAATACATTCCAATGGAGGAAACATTGTTTCACTCAACAATGTTTCCTATGGGTTTTTTCACTTAAAGATGGCAATCCGTTCCAATTGGAACGGATTAACCAGTTTTCAATGCATTCCTATAGGAAATGGTGTTTCACAGAACGATGTTTCACACAACGTTGATTTTTTTGGAACCAATTAACATTGTGTGAGGCACCACTGTACTGTTCCTTTCTGCTACCTAGAATGGTGAATAGGCTAAAGTTCCAGTATCTATTATCTTTACCAGTTTCTCAAAAGAAGAAGAAACTGGGATCTCTAACTGTTGATGTTTCTTCTGGAACTTTGTTCTCTTGTCCAGGAGGTAGCACACACTCCACTAAACTCGCAGGCTTCCAGCAGACTTGAGGTGTACCTCCAGTGCAGGAGTCTTCACTTCTATGTTCTATGAAGGCCCTCCTTAACTCTGCAGTTGTCCAGTCATGGTTTCCTTTAGTCTTCAGTTCAATTCTTTATTTAGGAGTCTTCCCACTGATTGGTCTCTTGTCACCATCTTTTATGTGTCATGCCAGCCAGTGTGTAATCAGATTTAAAATGTCTGTATTCTAATACTATTTTGATGGACAGTCTACATCTGTCAGTTCTTGGGAAATGCTTGAAACTCTCCAGTCAAATTTCTACAATTTGATTCTTTCTGCGGCTGGCTAAAGAAGTTGAGATAGCAGGAGTCGAACAGTTGAGTGTTCCATTCAGATTTTTTGGACTCCAAAATCTCATCGTTTTCTGGGATTTTCTAGGCAGAATTCTGGGAGTTCCAGCCCACAAAGCCACACCTTCAGGCACCTATATTTTGCTCACCTAGAGCAGGGCCTAGTCCTTAAGTGGCAACTGCATTTATGCTTGTCACCTTAGGCAGTTACTTTATTGCAGCAAATGGTAGGGCCGGCTCTAGATCCAGGCCTGAATTTCAGCCACACATAAGCCTCAGTTTAAAGTGCTTCAGTGGTTTGATTGCATTAGTGCTTATTTTCTCTAGCTAACATAAATGTATGCATGTAATATACATTTTGCCACATGTCAAGGTACTTTCTTCACAGACTTTATAATTACAGTTGTGTCTACACTTGCCTGGATGCCCCACTGAATTCATAGGGGCTTGCTTCTGAATGGACATATAGGATTGGACTCAGTTTTCTTGTAGAGATTTTGAAATGGACATAGTTATATTCTTAATTGAAATATTTACAACATTTCCAGTGCAGTACATGTAGGTTCAAAGAGACTTGTACTTACAGGTTCCATGTTTGTAGGATCATGTCTTTAGAGCCATCAAATTTATGCAGAATGGCTCATAATGGCTCATATTAATTGTGATGTTTGAAGAAACACAATCAAGAATAAGTATTGCTTTCAGAATATGCTGTCCAGACAATTTCAAAAGCAACAAGGTGCTTAATGGAGCTGAGGTTTTAGGAATTATGGGTAGTGCTTTCACTAAATTCTCTAGAGCTCAGATATTTATTTACTGTATGAGCTCAGATAACTATTTATTGCATGAACTCCTCTCTACTGGAATTTTGTATCACTCTTCTTTTGCAAACTGCTCCTGGGCCTTCAGATTTGAAGGATGCCTTCTCCCA